TCAAATAAAATAAATAAATACCACCAGCACAGAAAATACTGCTGTATACACGCTACGTTTGCGTTCTCGATTTGAGTGTCGCTTCCTAAGTTTTTTCTCCGACATTTCATTACTAAAAGTTTTTTTTTATTTTCCGAAAATCTATACGCATACAATGCATAGCGTACACATAGTATTGTTCATTCGTCCCGAGCGTTTTGGTATTTTCCAATTTTCTGATACATTTAACGTTCCGTCCGCGTGCACGTGTGTGTGTGTGTGTGTGTGTGTGTCACACACTAAAGGCATCGAGCAATTTGTTTCACCTCCAACGCTTTATAGTCTCAGGCCCGCGTACATGTATATATGTTATTCGAACACACATATTATACGCCTAGATAGTTTAGTGTGCAACGTATAATAACTAATGTGAGTGTAAAAGCATGTCCAGGGCCGGTGCGCGGAGCATGTGCAAGCCGTGCAATTGCAGCTCAGGACTTTGTGATGAAAATGCATTAAAAACCTTATAGATTTCAAATTAAAATTGGATAAGCCTCTCGATATACGTGTACTCGTCGTCTATATACGTTATATACGACGGGTACACGTATAATATAACATATAGCGTATACCCGCCAGGACCGCGTCGAAGCGTTTTATTCGCATCTTTAATATAAAAAAAACATTTTTGTGAACACATTGGAGCGGGGTAACTATAAGATGAATCAGGGGCTGAAGTCACACCCGGGCCCTGCTTAGGTCGTTCGAAGTACACAATGTTTTTCTGGTTTCCCTTAATCATAATATACCTGTACTCTTAATTTTATTTTAATAATTAAATAGGCATATGTCATCCTCGGATTTTATTTTTATTTCATGAAAACGTTATAAACAATACATTTGTGTATGGCAAAGTCAGTACCTACGATTGTAAATATTATGTTATCAACGAAATATCCTTGTGGGCGATATGACTTTCATGGTAACTGGTAATCGTCGAACGTCAGTCGTATTTCTGGACATTCATTTATTTATATGTCGACCGTCAAACAACCGCTTGTGTAGTATAATATTATTATTATAATAATATATATTTATGGAGTATAATATACATTCATTATACATTATCGTTTTTAATATTATTGTAAATGATAGGTACTTACGAAAATATGTACTTATTTAGTATAATTTCAGCAAGGGATTTATTTATTTATTCATATGGCACGATATGAGAATAATATAATCTATATAACTACTACTCGTTTATATTATATAGTTGGAGAATGCAGTGTTGAGGCCCCACGTTCCGAGTTCGAGTCCGGTGGGTAGTTTTGAAAAGGAATGTTTTTTGGTGCCTCTGAGGGTGGAGGTCTATTGTTTGTGGTTGGATGAAAAAATCACAGGTACGACTGCCAAATGTTGATAGAGCTTTGGCCGTAAGATGTTGCTCAGGGTGCATAACTTGGAAGCACTCTATATAAGCACTCTCAGCAAGAGGATCACCATTTAGACCTCATGGATAAGATGGTGTGATCGGTTGGAGTCCGTGAAAAATTTTGTTTCTGGTTCTGTCATTGGTGTAGTTATATAGGTGTGATCTGGAGGTCAGTCGTTTTGCCCGGCATTCTATTTATTCCTTGAAGAATTCATTTGCTTGAATGCTCAAGCTTGAATATTATTTTTCTGCCTGCGTTTTATGTAATTGCTATTTTGTTATTTAAATATTAGTATTGTACTCGGTATATTATGTACGTAGGTTCACTTAAAGTTTTGCTTATTATAACAAGGATAATAGTTTAAGACTAACTTGATATATTGTTTTCTCTGATTTTAAAATTGTAGACAACTTCAAGGATTTCTATACTAAAATTACATGTATAGATTTATTATTAGTAAATTATTTGAGGGCGGGAACAGGGTATTATCTCCTTCACCATTTTATCCTTATAGACATAATAGATAAAAACATTAGTTTTGTTTTGCATTCTTAAAAAATGTTGTTTCATCAATTTTTGTGGTCCGTGGAATTAATACTATCTATAATGCGTATGTATATAGGGCATTCGTTCACCGCATCAACAGCTGTCAATTTTCTTTGTGAACCTGAAAAATATCGATATTTCATGCATTTTTTGTGACCTGATATGGAGATATGTATTATGTATAGTCATCATAGATAATATGTTCAGTGTACAATATCTCTATTTTATTATACAAAAACGTTTTTTTTTGGTTTACAATGTTTTACAATTGCCATGGAAACCAAAAAATGATGAATAAAAGAAAAGACAGTTAACCAAATAACTTATATTGTAAGTGTTTGGGAATATAAAAATGATTTTAGATGAAATATTCGAGCATATACTGGTGGGGTCGGCGAGCTGCAGAGTGAACAGGACGCGAAGTCCCCGTCCCCACTACAGTCTATAGACCTATAATGTATATATATATATATATATATATATATTAAAATACATCGTATATAGGTGTTTTGGGGGCGAAATCGTTTTTTCTCTCTAACACCGTTTCGTCAAATTTTGGTTGGCCCTTAGCCACACCGCAAACTCCACCCGCCCAACAACAATAATAATAGGCTCTAGTGCGACGATGCCGGATGACTGCAGTATTATAATGAAAATATTGTAGTAAAACAATATAGATAGTATTATAGTGCGTGGTATTATATTTTAAGCGGCGTATATAATATAAAGGCGACCGATTGTTGTTCGCCGTCTGCAGCAATAACGCGGCCCGATTTGATTCCGGTTCACTAGATTATAATATCGTGGACGAGCACCACACCGCTGCTCTCGCACGCACGACGCGTCGCGGTATTATTAACAAACAAAACAAAACAATAAACACATAATTCACAAACGACTCGTGATGCGCCGACGATAACGCCGCGCGTCGCGTCTCCTCGGTCGACAATAATGAGCACCGCCGCCGACATCGGCGCTAATTGTTTTTTAATTACCTAACGTGCGCGCCTCGCCGTGTCACTGTAATATCATACCGAGAGCGCAGTTCGGCGCATCGCCGATAGTATTGTTGTACAAAGTATGAAGTGCCCGCGCCCATACACCCTAAAATATGTTTTTGAGTGGACACGAGTACCCCCCCCCCCTTTCTCACTATAATATTGATTTGAAAAAATTGGTAACAATTCATCGAGTTACGTACAAATTCGTACGTATTTAACAATTATTATTATTGTTTTTTTTTTTCATATCATTATCAATCACAGGCACTGCTTTAAATATCACCCATATAGGTACATTGTATCTATAATGCGCACGCACATATTATGTGGTGAAATATTACATGGTCGGGATACGTATAGGTAATACTTATTATACATACATCATACTACATAATATTTTGTTTTTCTGCAAAAAAACACTGCCGTATGGATGTCTATATGGCCGTGACAAAAACAACAATGTTTTTTTATCGTCCATGCGTATAATATACCAGTGGTTACCAGAAATACGTCAATACGTCCTGCCAAAAGAGCAAAATTTTAAATAATTCTTATCGGGATTGATATGAATTATCAATAGTATTTTCTCCGTGTAGTACTCACCTGATTTGGAAGTACTTGGAATGGTATTTTTATTTTTTGAATCCCAATACGTACGAATATAAATACGCATCGTATCAATTTATCGGATTATTGGAGAGCGGTACATTCGCTATATATATATATTATTTTCTACATACATGTAAATACGTATTATATTAATATTATGTATACCTACCGACTACCGACTATACATATTTATATGTACAGACGTACAGTGTACGTACAATAGCGGAAAAGTAGTTATATTATTTATCGATTTGATTACATTAACAATTAACGGTGGCCGTATATAGTTAATGTATGACATGTCCGCGAAATCGAGTGCGAGAGTTAAAACGGTTTAACCGAGTTAAATTTATGATACATTCGTTTAATATGTATAACGTTAAACGACGAAACGGCACACACACACACACACACACACACACACACACACACACACACACAGCACTAACGCGCGTATATATGCATAATTATTTACGGTTTATGCAAAGTAATTTATATAAGTAACGGTCATTTATAAATACGGTGCAGTTACGGGGAATAATGCCGTTTATTATGGTATCGGTGAAGTGTAGTGCACGGCAATACACAGCAACAACAACTACAACAACAACAACAACAACAACAACAACAACAACAACAACTACAACAACAGCAGTAGTGTAATATAGTATAATATAATATAATATAATATTATTATGCGTATAGTTTATTTCCAGACCATAATAATATAATATAATAATAATATTGTAGCGGTTAAGGTTTCGGGCCGGAGGAGCTATAATATAATATTATTATCGTACACGCGCGGCCGTAAGTAATAATAATATTCTGTCCGAAAGCCAAGACTCGCCGCCGCCGCCGAGACGCTAGGCCTCGACCGTCCAGACCACCTCTAACAGAATATAACATTATTATTACTATGTAATATTTGTTCGTCTCTCCGATACAAACGGTATCATCTCGTCTTTAAAGACGTCTCCGGGGCGGCGATCGTTTCTCGATTAATCCCGGATCGGTGTCGCCGCAGCTGCGGGGATTGGTGTCGCGAGGTGTGTATTTTATCCGCGGCTATTGTCGTTATTATATTATTATTATTGCCGCTGTCGTCGTGGCCGCGCGATCGTTCTTCGGCGGAGATTAACTCGCGGCGTAGGTATACCGTGCATCTGCAGCGGCGGCAGGACCGGACCGCGGGCCGGCGATCGGCACCGGAAGAGCGTCGCGCCGACGACCACCGTGGCCGTTAAATTTCCACCGTCGACGGCACCGCCACCGCCGCCGCCGGCCGGAACGTCCCCGTTCGCGGCGCTGGGTACACCGACGGCGGCCGGAGGAGCGGTGCGCGCGTGTTGCCGTCACCGGGCGGGCGGGCGAGCGGCAGCATCGGTTCGGTTGTGAGCGTCCGACGTGGTGTCGTCGTCAGTTCCCTCCAACCGTCGGTCCGCAGAGTCACGAGGTGCTCGCTGCCTCGGCACTGCAGCGCACGCCGTCGCGTCTCCACGACTTTAATAATAATATATACGTCTTACGTTCGACCCAACACGCCGCCTGCACGATATTATCCAACGATTATGACTGTCCCACAGGACATATATTATTATCATGAGTAATGAAATAGGTACACATATATTATATTATTATTTGCATAGTTATCATTGTTATTACTATTAAATCAACACGCGTGAGATCAATTATTACGAAAAAGATTTTTTTATTTCCCCTCAAAATTTAACGACAATATACACCTAGTTATACACACACGCTATAAATTTAAATTTTAACGTATTATAATTTGCGCGCAATATACTATTATTATTACGCAATAATACACCTATGGTGTACCACAGCTGCGATTGACGATTTCGACGTTTTTTGACGTCTTAATAAAAAAAGAACGATGTCGTTTTAGATTTTCCCGCGCAACGATCCACGGCAATGACGACTGAACTGGCCGACGACTGCAGCGTCGAGGGATCGCGCGACGAGCTCGACGTCGATGATGGATCGCACGCCGGTCGCGGTTAAAGTGAGTAGTGCATTAATTTTAATCTATGATAATAATATTATCGTAGTTCTCACTATACTCATAATATTATAATATCAAAATAATAATTTATCCACGTACAACTACAGTAATATTATTATTATACGCCGTACGTGTAATTGAGTCGTATAATGTTTACGCGCGCAATTGATTATCTATGTAATGTGCTCAAACAAAATAGAGTTTCTCTGCTTTTGATATTTATATTATATTATTATGTAGTGTGTGTGTACACCGTTACACCGTTGACGACGACGTTTACTGCCGGCCCGCAAAGACTTCCCTCGCCGGCTAACTATCGCTACGTGTTGTACCTTATATTATATATACTTACACGTAAAAAAAAAATAATAATAATAAAAACTTTTTTTTTTTATTATTATTTTTCTTTTAAACTTTTTTTCCTCTTTTATTTCTTTACTATTACTATTATCGTTGCAACGACGGAAACACGCAGTAGAGATTCGCACTTGTTATTATTACTACTGTATTTCCCGCTGCATCTCCTACCGTTTATATATATATTATATATTTTATATATATATAAGTGTACACACGCGCGAGTGTGTGTGTGTATAAATAGATATATATATGATGTAAGCACACGCTCCCACAAAAAGAAAAAAAAAGAAAGAAAGAAATAAAAATCAAAAGTTAAATAAATAAAAGGAGGCTAGCGACGTATTCGTATTACAGCTACTATATTATTCTCTTTTGTAGTATTCCCGGTCTCGACATCGCAACGTCCGGGACGTGGCTATTACTTGCTACCTTATAATAAAATAACGGTGGAGGAGGTCAATATAATATTTTATTCGTGATAGTATAAATAAATACCTAGTAACAACGTCGGCCCCCATAGACAATATAATAGTTATAAATTTATAATATTTGAATACCATAATTTAACTCTCCGCGTTCCGTCTCTTGAGCATTTTTTAACGGTGGTCTGCTATAATAATATTATAGTAATGATACAGTGTATATAATATTTTTATTATTGTTATCAATATCAATCGCTACATATTGTGTGAGACATACTAGATTTAATACGTTAATATATTTTTTCCTCGAAGTTATATATACCTTCATTATTATATATATAAATACATAATACACATATATATTATGTATATATATACCTAAATCATACAAACGAAAAACTTGACGACACGAGTAAAATATTAAATTGCTCGAGATAATAATTCTTCATACTTTTTCAGAGAACAAAGTTTTTAATGAAATAAGTATAATTGTATTGTTCAGTATACAAATTCATTAAGTCAGTTAATAAGAAACAAATTGCTTGGATATTAGGACTTAAATTATATATATTTTTTATTACCGTAACAATGTCTTAAATTTTGTTTGATAATAATAATGTTATAAATTTATTAAACAATGTGATCAAACACATAAATTAAAATACACTTTGTTCAAACTTCTATTTTATGAAGTACAAATTTAAATTTTCATTGAAATATATTATAAATAATAACTCATGATGATTTTTTATGGTGACAGTCGAAATTTAATTTTGTTATTCTTTTTATTTCTGTTTAAGTGTACAGAATAATAGAAAATGAGATGAGAAAAAATATATTTTAAGGAATGAATACGTACGTGGTAAGCTGGTTAAGTAATAAAATAAAAAATGTGTATACAAACAAAAACAAATAGGATATTTTTCGTTTAGACCAATTTTGGATAAACATTCACACATTTTTATTTTTACAACATGTGAGTCCCTCTCTTGGCTTAAAATTTACGAGTCGATTTTATTTTCCACTATTCCGTTAAATTTTCTCTTTTCTTGTTTAGTTGAAACATAATTAACTTACTATGACGTTATATATATCCTATATAATGTTGTGTTATACATTTTGAATTACTTTTGTTACTTATATACTTATATATACATACGTAGATGGCAATAGATTTATATTAGTAGTGAAAATAATTAGTAAACCTATACTGCAAAACGCAATAGTTTTGTTTAAAACTCGGATTTATTACGTTCTGGGCCTGGAGTTCAATCATCGTTAATATTATAGAAGTAGAATGACAAAATAGCTATAATAGTACAATGCTTATTATTATATTAACGTTTTTTTTTTTTAAATTCTAGTTTAGAACTGTATATCATTTTTAGAATTAAATATATTAAAAGTTAAAAGAAAATTGTACATTTTAACTGTGCCTTATTACTGTATAACAGTACTGGTGCATCAAAATATGTATTTTGTTCATAGTTTATGGATTAACCATTGAAAATACTTAATACTATTTTTATTATTTGATGCTCATTAAATTTAAATATATTATCTGTGTCAATCAATCAAACGTGTCAGGCCTCATATAAAATGGATATATATGAAAATGAAAATTCTGTTAGTTACATTCACCTGCAATATGTGTGTGTGTGTGTGTGTGTGTGTGTGTGTGTGTGTGTGTGTGTGTGTGTGTGTGTGTGTGTGTGTGTGTGTGTGTGTGNTGTGTGTGTGTGTGTGTGTGTGTGTGTGTGTGTGTGTGTGTGTGTGTGTTTGTTCAGCAAGAAACAAGTCTTACAATTAACACACTTATGTATCGACATGCTCTAACATATTTCATAATCTGAAGACAAAACTATTCACAAACTATCACTGATCCGTATAAATTTATTAATTCCATAACTACCATAGTAGGACTGAGTGCCGTGTTAACTTTCTTTGGGGCTTAGGGCAATTATATTTAGCACCCCTACATACATATTTATACATTTTTCGCCCTTAAAAATGTTACAACTCTGGTAGCACTAGTAGGTACAATACATAGTACATACATTAAAATGTATACAATAAATTATTTAATTATCTTAATGTGGGAAAAAATGATAAGTGGTTTCTATTTGAAGTGCTAATTTTATTTTAAATTCGAATACGGCAATTATTGGAATAGAATACTGGTTTTGTTCAGAATTCAGTTTACTTAAAAGTTAAATCTTAATTATACTTATTCACCGTTCATTTCTTTATGTTTATTTGAAATTGTCGACATCACTAGGTGCTGAATCAATGTTTCTGAGATTTCATACATTTTTCTGAGCATTATATTATATTTTAGTAAAAAAAAAATTAAAGATTAACACATATCTACTATCATAAGATCAATATTCGCGGTTAGGGTTGGTTTATAATGTAAATATATAATACTACCAATAAGGAAATAACTAATAACAGTAATAAATAATTATTAATAACATCAAATATTCCTGTGTCTACGATTTCATTAATTTCATATTAGACAATGTCATTTTATGTTCTAGGGTTCTGTACTCTGTAGTTTAACATATAAAATAATATAAATTATCTTGATTATATAATATAATCATCAAGGGTGGTGTATCCAACATTTAATTTTAACTGGTTAAAATAATTTATCACAAGATACAGAAGCTATAATGTCCAACGCGTTATTGTCGTATTGAATTCCCAATTCTCAACTCTCATTTCTTAATATAACAGTGTATCCTAATAAAGATATTTATGTATATTAACTTAATGTATGACTATCAATTTTTATAACACAGGTTGCGGGTGCTAGATACTAGTATTAACTACTTTACTCAAAAATCGAAATATATAACAATGCCATGTGTCCGGACTTAGGCACGAGAAGAAAAACTTTTTCACTCGAATAACTGTTATTCGGCGTTAATGTTACCTTCACGGCCCCTCTGCCTGTATTCCTCTTTCTGTTTTACTTTTCACCACACCCTCCGACTATATAAGACCTACTATGCTACTGCTACTATGTTTACGATTATTATTTTACTGCCGTCGCTATACTGCTGTTAGTACTTTTTTTTACTACTGCCGTCATTGTTATTATTATATTATGGCTTTTTGCTTCGCCACCGTAAACCCTCCCTCCAATCCAGTTTTGGTGAACGTGCAAAGAAATATATACAATTAACATTCATACACATATACACAGTATCAACAGATTACCTCTATTGTCAAACATCTATTGTTAATTTTCTTTCTTTTTTTTAACCAAATCAGCCATTTCGATTTTTAATTAATAATAAATTACCTACTAATTATTAGTTGAACAAAATATCATATTAACGCATATAAATGACGTATACATAACGTGGATATGTCAGAATAAAGTTACATGGACTTAGTCGTAATATAGCTGTTATATTATATAGTAGCATAAGCATAATATAACAATAATAATTACGAGTATCAACCGCATAATCCACGACGCGAGCATACACTCTCGAGGGACCGTCACTAATATTATTTACCTTATTTTATAGTTGTTGTTATTATATACATTAATACATTAAATACAATAGCAGAGTCAGCGGATGGAGAGAAACCAGCTCGCGTGGTAGTGGAATTTTGGTGGTATCATCCATAGTGCCTGTATATGCGGGATAGCGACCGCAGCAACGAATATAGTAATAAAAGTAATCCTACGCAGTGCTGTACCGAATATAAAATTTGGGGAGGTGAAAACGCACAAAATTAAGTTATTTAGGTGTATACATACGTTAGCTGAATATACCCAGAACCAGTCACGCCCAATCGAACGACGTGTTAAATATTGCTAGGTACTGCCATATAGTTTTTATTACCTAACTTATAAGTTATAACTAAGAATCTTATGAAAATCAGCTCCACGTGTGTAGACAACCTTTACTGGTCAGGTGTAATTTATTTGATAAAAATGATAGTAAATCGTATATAATTAAATGAAAATAGTTTATTTGTTTGTATACCATTTAAAATTATGTTATATGCACAATACTAATTGTCCCAGAAGACGTGTATTGGAATATTACAATATATATGTTATGTATATATTTATATACATCGATAAACAAAGTTATTTTAAACAATAAAATACCACACCAGCTCAGGTGATCCTTAAAGAAACTATACAAATATTACTATACTTGTATACTACGCATATGATTTAGATTATTACTTATAAATTATAATATATTATTTGACATGTGTGGATATAGTTATGTGGTGCCATGATGGGGTGTATTATAACAATATAACAATTAGATACTTGTCATTTATTTTAATGAAATATATTACCATAACATAGTATGTATCGTATACTATCATCACAATTTGACAACAGACTATATTTAGTCGTTTTTTCTGCAGTATAGTTATTAGTTATTACATAGTTGTGTACACAGTACCTATATATACAAATGCATTAAATAATTTCGAAGCATATTTATTTGGCGAAGTGTATATTATATATGTATTATGTATGTTTGAATTAAAAAAAATTATAATAATCGAAGGTTAACATTTTAACAGCGGGTATTCTTTTATACGATTATTGTTGTATTATACAGTACACAATTTTAGGTCCTCGTTAGATGTTTTGGGTAAACCACATGAATGGGTGTGAATAATTATCATATTAACAACGATTAATTTATATTGTATTCTAACAAAGATACTAAAGAGTTTTTTAGTAGTTTTTCCTATTTTATAATATAAAAATAATTCAAATTTACAAATTAATTTTATTATTTAACTATCAAACTTTTAAGTTTATAAAAGTAGTATAATATAAATGAACATTTTAAGTCTCCTTAACTTTATTTTAGTTGCAATGTATTTAAAATACATGGTAAATCATATAATAAATTCATGATCATTTCTCAGTAAGTTTGGTTAGTTTTTACAAAACAATGTAAAGTTTACTATTTTATAAATTTCTGAAAAATATCTATTATCGATTTCTAATGAAAAAATATAGGATAAGAAAATTTTAGAACAATTTTATATCTTTCTATAAAATGCGTTTTCGAATACGGGACGTTTAACGACCTGATGGAAAATTTATAGGAAATTGCATACACAGTTTTTTCGTATGTTTCTACGATTCTATGCTACGATTTTCACCAAAAGTCAAGAAAATGTAATAAAGACGACATTATGTTTCTAGAACTGCACTTGTCTACGTAGGTAGTTTTTTAAAAACTAAAAATCCATTATAAAACCAATGTATTGGAATGGAGTGTAATATAATAAATTATATTATTTATTTAAACGTGCACTGTGCAGTGTAATGTAATGTAATATAATCCTAGTTCAGTTCAGCCGGGTAAAAAATAAAACTAATTGTATACCACGTCGTATATTATATATATTTATGAATATAGGTAATCGTAAATGTTATTATTAAGTCATCACCTCCACGCCACTGGCTTATATCTCGGGCTTCTCGTGATGGGGTGCCTACTGTATCTGACAAGTATAACAATAATGACGTGGTGATCATAATATAAACCCACACCCGCATATAAACACACTCTCATATTTACATACAGGGTGTTTCACTATTATTTCCTTAAAACATTTTTTTTATTTCACCCTTCTCCAGCTTCTTGTTTGACTGTAAATTATTTAATAGATATTTTTTAAATTTTTATCTAAGTACCTAATTTAAAATTTGAACTAATAGTTTCTCAGCTATTAGAATGCTTACATTAATAAGATAATATTCTTTAAAAATGGTAAAACAAAATAATAAAATAGATGGGTATAATATTGGATCTAGTATTTATTTCACTTGGTCACTTGGACCATTTTTATAAATTAAAATGTTGATGTATTAATTAATCACCAATGAAAATGTTCGGATCACCATTATAGTCTCCATAACTTTTAAATCCATTAACCGTTATCATGGATCAATTATCCTTATTATATACAAAGTTTAAAAACTTAAAAACTGTAGGTTCCATGGTTTTGAAGTTAAATTTTGATGAATACAATTTTTCAGAAAAAAATATCTATCAGCTAAATAATTTAGAGTAGACAGTTTAGAAGAGAAGGACCCTCTTCTCATTTCTTCGAATGAGAACGAAAAGCAAAAATTTGTAGGTCCATACTTGATACTCCCAAAGTATAGAACCAACAAATCTTGAAAACTTTAAAATACGCTGTCTTCGAGTATAGGCAGGTTAGTAGATTTAAAAATTTCGAAAACCAGATTTTGAATAACTGCATAATATTATTATCGAAGAAGAAAAAAGAGGGCGAGCGTGCTAGGCGGCGAATCACTCTGTATACCACAACATTATAGCGCATACGACGTGATAAATATATGCATATCATATTATCATCATATAATATATTTGTGATGTACATGCCATGTCGCTGCGGCCGTATCTGTATATTTTTCGTCCGCCAGCGCAAACAAACGGATAGCAATGCATTATTTAGGCGCGCAAGTGTGTGCATGTGTGTGCTCACAACGAGAGCCTGATAGCGTCAGCGTGAGCGGTTTAATACGGAAGTGTTGCGCATACGTCGCTCCATTCTCATATCCTTTTGCGAGCCGCGGCAGCGGCAATGTCCGGTCTAAACGCTCGTATGCGTCGACCGCGCACCGTCGCGCCGCTAATGACCTGCCTGCCGGCGTGCGCGACAATCGCATCTACCTAGTATACATTATTATTATACGTTGGAGGGCTCGGGTAAGCACGGGGGGGGGGGTGTCGGACGGGATGATTCGCGGGGGGTCGAGTCCTACAACACACTATATCGTAATGACGGCGACGGCGACGCGGACGACGGCGGTTGGCGAGTGGCCAAAAAACGGTTGTTTAGCCGATAAAAATCGGGTTATTATTGCGTTATAAACAATTTTTTCGTCTTATTTTTTCCACGCACACCCCACACCCACATCTATATATTTAATATTATATATATATATTACGTAATATACGTCGTCTCACCGCACCCTTCGCTATTTGTTATTGATTATAGATTCACGCATCGACGAGTACACGCCGAAATAAAACGACACATCGCCATCACGAACGCCGATACGTCTAGCTGTATAACATTATTATGACGACGTACGCGATGACGGCCTTCTGTACCGCGGTACTGATCGCGTCCATCGTGGTCGACACCGGAGTCCGGAGTCTGGGATTGCCGCCGTCCGCCGACAGAGGGGGATCGCCAGCGATGCCGTTACGGTTTTCGTCGGCGGCGCAGGATCGCAAAACTTATCCGAACAATAGCCCTTCGGAACCGAGTTACGACTCCGGGAGTGACGACGACGATGGAGACGACGATGACGACTTGGCTAATACGGCCGAAGACGACAGCACCATAGAGGAAAGCGAAGATCAGCTGGACCAGGACGATCCAGGTAATTTTAGAGATTCGATTTACGATAGTTTTCAGAAACGCGATTGCATGCAGTATATCGTTTTCCGTGTTAGCGTGTTATACGACATTATGTGTAGGTATATACAACGGACCTACGGTTACCGTTGTAGCGTGCCAAATTCTAAATGACTTTTATAATAATATGGTATAAAACGATATACCTATTGTAGACTATGAAGATATTATAGATAATATTAACAAATTAAAGTATTAAGTGAAACTTAATGATTACATAAATTATAGTACACATTATTATACTGACAATAGAGACGAGCGTTAACAATATAGTATGCTCAATATTATCATTTACATCCATAAGACACAGGCGTTCGACTAATATTATTATACAATTATGCATCAGGTATGTAGGCTAATACCTATTTTTTCAAGTCAAATTTTGATCTCTATTGAATAATACTTACACCCTTAAAAATTAAATGAAAGATATATTTTATTTTGAAATGTAAATGGCAAAGAGATAAGTTCACAACGGTTCATCAATAATTTAAATTTACATAGGAAAATATTTTTTTCTCAATGCTAAGAGTTAAATTATGTCTTGTTACAGTTACGACTATTGATATTATTATTATTATCTTTTAAGTCATATTTAGACTCACAAAGCTTATAGTATGTGTATATTATAGAGTAAACTAATTCTAAAAATGTGTTTACTGCAATGTCGTTATTCTATATTACTGTATAATCATGTTATTAAATTCCCTGCTCTTAAACAAAGTTTATAGTTTTACTAGATTTTTTCAAATAATGCTGACAATGACATAAAATGCAGTTAACTGTTCAATTTTCAATTTTGACATCATCAGTGACGTGGCCAGGAACGTTTAATACCACGCGCACTTGCCAAAAAAAATCACTGTCTAATTTTATATGGGTAGTTTTATATTCAAGATAAGATAAACGTATAAATAAATATTTCAGACTTTTATTTTAGAAATACGAATTTTCTTTTGGCTTTTTCTTTGAAGTTTCAACTGGAAATTTCATCTGGTTTATATTAAGTTTGCTCGTATTTTAGGTATATATTTTCCATCACTTTTTTCAGAAATTCACAATAAATGTATTTATTAATAACAAAACTGCACAGTCAATAAAAAGAATGAAATCAGAAATAATATGTGTATACATATTGCACACCGCTATTTCTGTGATTTTTCATTTTCTTGATCATAATTGTAAACATAGTTTTTTGTATAATATTTTTTGACATCTCTGAATAGTCGATAATCCTTATAAATCACACATAATTTATAATAATAGTTTAGAATTTCATAAATTAATTGGAGAATCATGGATTTTAAAAATCAAGTTTTAGGTAAATTAAAGTTATAATTACAATTGTTCGTATAAAAAATTATTTATCTCTTTTTCGATCATTTTCATGGTTTATTATGTATTATAATTGTATAATAGGTATATGATAGGAACTACTGATATGTTTTATTGTATGTGGTTGCAATGCTGTATTCAGATATAAATAACCCTTGGAATTAATTTGTTTTCACATATTTTGACTTCTGAACAAGTATACATTATACTATACATTCATATGTTTTTATATACCTATGTTTTCCCGTTTCCTAACCATGTACTCTTACAGGCTACACATATATTCGCGCTAAATTAGAGAACTGACGCAGCGTATATCCCTTTAAGCCCACTGTAGGACCTCGTGTTATATGATAAAATATAATTACACAGGTACCTACCTATCATATTATGATGCTATATTATTAGCCTTATTTTCCTTACTATTCATACTCTATAGATATACTTACATATCTGCACAAATGTATGGATATTTTTTTCTTACAGAGTAGAACGGATTGAAGTGGTGTCCATGGACAGAAGGGTGTCTCTACACATCGTGTTTTTCAGACCTTTTATTTAATACATTTCACAATGTTAACCTGTGTCGTTATACTGTATTCTATACTAAGCTCGTTGCATATTTTTACACTTCTGTGTTTTCTAATGTCTTTTAAAAACCATTAACTACTATCGAATCGCTGATGGAGCGATTCATGTGTTTGCTGGGAATGAAAGTATAGTGTGAAATTTTAAAACGGTAAATAGTACCCTATCTGGTCTCCCATATAGAGCACAGACCCTATGTATAGAATCATGGTTGCCGTATATCTCTTAAGATTCTGAGTAGAGATATGAGCATAAAATATTCCACATTGAAATATTTCAAACTCGAAACTTTCCCCTTCCTTGAAATATTTCAATAAAATATTGAAAATAATATTATTTTTAAATGTTGTGTTTTTTGGTTTATTTTATAAAACCATCACTAGATCTTATTTGTATAATGTACGATCAAGGCCGTAGCCGGGGGGGTAGGGTTTACCCCCCCCCCGAAATTGTATTATTTTTTTTAAATAAAGATTAATTTAATTTAAATAATATTTTTATTTTTTCATATTTTATTATATAATATAACATATTTATACTCTAACACCCAACCCCCCTAAATATTTTTCTGGCTCCCTGGCCTTATATACGATGTACCTTAGTAATATTTCTATAAAATATTCCACTTAACAATTAGCTAAGTACAGATATTTACTTAATTCTTACCATAGTTTTACCTAAAAATTTGATTTCTTATTTTTCAAAAAAAAAAAAATTATGAAAATTTTAACACTTATTATAAATGACATCCTAATCTACCCAATCCTGTCACGATAAATCAGGGGTTATAATCGGCAAATATACCAGCTATTTCATAGGTAGGTGCCCCATTGGGGGTGATTTGATTCCAGAGTTAATTTGGAGGACGTATAAATTGATTCCCTGCAGCAGACTTATAGTTGATTCTCAAACTTCAGCCTATTAGCATTCTCCTCCAGGAGACACCACGGATAAGTTGGCTGACCAATCTAATCAACATTTTTTTATTATAGTTATATTAAATTTGATCAATCGTCATATTTTAATTCATTATGCTCACATGATTATTTAAGAGTAGGTAGAATAAACTTTTTCAATTTATTTATCAAATGATGTCAATCATTGTCACAGTTGATTGTTTTTCATAATATACCAGAGAACTATTGCGGGAAAGATAAACATTTGAAACTCATCGCTTTTACAAAAATTGGTATCTGCCATTGAGGACATATTGAGGTTATGGTTGTATAATATTTATGTGTGCACCATTTCCCGCATAAACACTTATTTTTTCTCATTTTTTACTGATATACAACAAAAGGGGAGAATCAACTCATGCATACCTCGTAATTGCCCCGGAATCAATTCACCGGTCTCGATTTAGGTAAACAGGTACCTCGTCTCGTGTAGCTCATTCGTACAACAGTGTGTGACGCAAATTTTGTGCGGTATAGTGCATAATAAATATAGACATAATATAGTATACGACGAATCCAATACCATACAAGCGCGATAAAAATAAACGGATTATTGTTTGTTAAACGAACCGCTGTCGTACGCGTCGTAAACTACTAGAATAATGATAAAACTACCGCGGGGGGCGGCGGCGGCGGCGGCGTAGTGACGGTGACGAACCGAATGGAGTAAATACGTTTAGCGTTTTCATAAATATATATGCACAGACACACATGCCTATATATATATATATATATATATTATATATGTACACGCACAAGTATATATATTATATACGTACACGTCGGAGGCGAGTAGTGGAGGTGTAGGAATCAAATGGAGGCGACAACTTACGTGTGTAGGTAGGTACTATAGGTACGTATAAACGCCGCCACGACGCGATACGTACGCGCTGCAGGCGGACGGCGGGCGGCGGCGGCGGCGGCGGTGAAGGTTAGTTTATGTCGATCTACATCATCGTCGGCAGCCGCGTTTGATTGCCGAGTCGCTGCTCCCCCCCTCGCTCCCCCGGTCAGGCGCCAATTTCATCCGCTCGCCGTGTGCGACAGAATACGAGAAAAGCACCGGTGCGTACGTGAAAATATATACACAATAATATACTGCTGCGGTGCGCGCGTTACACGCCATCGCCCTGCCCGCCGCCACACACGGCGTATGTGCAAATAAAGGCGGCGTGCAACGATTGAGATGAGGACACCGCGGTGTACGCAATAATAATGTAATATATGAAAAACGCGAAATCCGCCACGGCGCGGCGGCGTTTGTTGTCTGAAGTCAAAAATAAACAAAAAGCACAAAAAAAAAACTACAATAATAAGAATATCACGATGTATTATGGATACGCTAGCGCGTAGAGTACATTATTGTTATTATTATTATTATTATTATTGCGATGTAATAATATACCATATAATAGCAGTGGCTGCAGCAGAAGCAGTCGTCGTCGCCCGGGGTAAATTAAAAGCCGACACAGTTTAAATGATCACTACGGTTTTTAGTCAACAACGTCCGGCGGCGGCAAGTGGAGTATATATAATATAAATATATGTATATACGTGTAAGCTATAAAGAGAGAGGAGGCCGCCGCCCCCGTGTCGTATTTACTCGGTTATTGTTTGTGTTGCACGCGCGTGGGGTAGTAACGCGCGTTATTCGTATTCATATATTTCGTATACAAATATAACACGCACACACACACACACACACATATATATTTATTTATGTGCACACGCGGCGGTGGAAGTGGTGATGATGGATGCGCTTTAGTATTCATGAGGCGCGAACGGACGAGATGAAGGCCGGGCGCGGAGGGAAAACGGCAAAGAAAACTTTTCGCGTAGTCGCTCGTGTCGCGAGCGCTGTGGACGGGCAGCAAAAACGCCGCCGCCGATGTATATAATGTACGTGTACATGTTATTATGTTATTATTATAATATGCATCTTCGGAGGCCTTCGGATTATTCCGGAACACCGGCGTTGGTTTGTCTGCAGATCGCGATGACCGTTTCGACAGTCAGACGGCGGGCCGGCGAGTAACCCGCCTAAGTAATATTATAATAACGTACCCAATAGTATACGTATAACAGC